AATTGCCAAGTGCTTGATACTTCTTCTTATTTGGTAAATCTTGTACATGTGGATGAGATATTATTTTTCCATGGATATGTTTATATGAATTCCAGCCAGTGCCTCTACCTAGAAAACTATGTAAATGTAATGCAATGTTACGTAAGTTTTGTTTTCGTTCTTATATGCTGCACTTCACAGGGTTGAATATCTTCCAGAAGTGCATTAACTGGTGGAATTGTCATCTACTAGATATGTTTTTCTCTCTCCCATTCAGTCTAAGGAGGAATTTTGCGCTGTCTTTATTTTTGGCCTCTTTTAAAATAGTTATATTATTTGTATGTGGTTCTGTATCTGTGTGTGACTCACATTCAGAGTAGAAGATAGTGAGCTTTGTGCTGGAGATAATTCCAGTGGAAACTCATCCAGAAATCTGAAACTGGTCTGAGAGAGCCCTGTTTTCTGCAGAGCTTTTCTTTGGAGATGGATAGTCATGCTACACCTGCACAATGAAGCTACTGTGTGTTTTTCCTCATCCTGTTTCTCTCTGCAGGCAGCCGTTCAAATGAGCATCTGGGGTCCCAAACATTTGAATCCCTCAGGAACAGGGATGTACTGAAAGCAACCCTGCAGATTAAAAACAGGTCTTAGACCTGTACCCAACCAGGAGTAGTTCTCACAGCAGCTGGATGTTGCCTTTGCACACTTGCATTGCTGTCTCTCTGCAACACAGAGTGGTGAGAGCGATGGCAGGACCCAGGTTAGAGTGCTCCCAGGAGGAGCCCACGTTGGAAGCAGCATTTCTGTGGGATATCCCTCCTTTCCTTTCTTCCATTCTTTTTCAGGCTAAAGTCTAACACTGGGTCTTCAAATTCAGGTGCTAAAGCTGAAGTAGTGGCTGATATTTATCACGCAAATATAAGAGTAGCTCAAGCCCTTTTGACCAAGCGTTACTGCTGTGTAGTTTTTTATCTTTAGGATTTTTCCCCAGTTGGATATTGCTTTTGAATTGAAATAATCTGTGTTTCTCTTAGGAACTGAGCTGTCTGGAAAACATGTTGATCAAATTCCAACATAGTTTTTCCAAGAGTGTTTCTTTTGTCTTTTGCTAGCTGCTTCCTGGTGCTGTTTATCCAAAACCCCACCTGCTGTCAAGGGCAGCGGTGGCCGTGTGAAACATCTTCACAGCCATGAGGCAGCTGTATCTATTGGGCTTAATTTCTGCAATGAATTACCAAGGGTATGTAATTTAAAACCCCCTCTTCTTCTCAGCCTTCCTACCACCACCAGTCATCTCATTCTATCTGCAAGCGGTGATGGAACTATGTTGCCAAGAACTTGAGGTTTGCTTTCTCTACACCAAGTTTAGCATAATGTATGTATGACTTGCAGGAGAAGGATAGTTTTTCTGTTTACCTGCCATATCACATAACCCTGGAATTCATCCTCTTCATGAATAGCAACAATAATGATTAGATTTTGTTTATTTGGGGAAAAAGGCGGAAAAAAGGGCAATGAAGACTAAGCTTGGGAGGGATGCAATAGTTTGATACAATTCTTTAATAAATATTTCAAAATTCCAAGACAGTCTGAACTTGGAACTGACAAGCAAGAAAACTCATGATTTCCATATGGTGTGGATGTCCAGAAAGCTGTAGCAAAGGGAAACTGAGAATATAGTTTTGTATTACATCTGTATTACTCTGTGCTATATTTGCATTAAGCAATGAGAGGAGAAAAGTAAACTGAATTATTTGAAGCTACAAGTGGAGATCATAGCCATTCTAGAAGTAATTTATTTTGTTGTTTTTTCAGGTCTTTTTTGTTCAGGAGATCCTCAAGCACTGTACTGTGGAAAAATAGAAGAGTGTCAGTAATGGATTTGAACATAAGCTGCCAGCAAGCTGGATGAATGGTTTGCCTGTCGCATTCACTGAATGTCCTGAAGTATCCCTGACAAGGTTTTAATTTTCTGCTAGTGCAGACTAATTTTATTTTGAATTTTTTTTAGGCATTACAAAAATTTTAGCCTTCAAACTGTATCCACAACTGAAAGGATCTGTGAGGACTAATGTAATGATTTGTTCCAAACAGCCTACACAGCTCTTTGTTTCTCTTGTCCAGTATCCATGAACAAATTTAAGATTTAGAAAGTGTTGAAGCTGTCATTACAGTTGTATTTGATCAATGGATTGCATGGACTGCTCTCCATCTGTGATATGTGTTCAGTACAGACTACACAGCTCTTTGTTTCTCTTGTCCAGTATCCATGAACAAATTTAAGATTTAGAAAGCATTGAAGCTGTGTCATTACAGTTGTATTTGACCAATGGATTGCATGGACTGCTCTCCACCTGTGATATGTGTTCAGTACAGGTAGCCCAGTCACTGTAAGGTTAAAAGTGTGGCCCTTCAAAGGATCCTGATACTGGCTTAAAAATCATGATACTGTGGAATTTAGGGGACAGATTTTTAAAGTTGCATTTCTAAAGTCACATTGTCACTGTTTTCTGATCAAATGCAGAAATCATCTTTATCAACACATTTTTCTCCTTCCATCCATGTGTCCACATTCCTTTATCTCCTGTCAATCAAGGTTTTGAAACTGCTTTTTGTAGCATTCTGTTAGAACAGGGTGTTGGGACTTGTGACATTTCTGAACAACTCGTAACTGAGAACTGTATTGAATTTAGTGAGTCTGTTTCAAGAATGTTTTCATGTTATTTCAACAGCTCCAACACTCATTTACCTGGTTTTCCTGCAAAAAACACTTTTTTTCTTTTTCTGGGGTTATCACTAGATATCACATCTGGTGTCAAAGTCTGTGAGACTTGCGTAGGCCTGTGAAAATTTCTCAACCTCACTTAAATAACATTTAACAAAAATATACATTGCATACTTGGCCCTGGAGAGATGCCACAGTTAGATGACAGAGCCAACCTATGAAAAGGGACTCATGATGCATTCCCAAAGGACACATCCTGTTAAAATAAAACACAAGGAAAACGAGAACATATCAAGAATAGTCTCAGTATTTCAAAGGGAACGTGGCATGCCAATAAAAACATAATCTTGCTTGTAATCTTGCTTGCTTGCTTGTAATCTTGCTTCTGTCTTGAAAGTAAACTTAGAAGCATTTTGAAAGCTTTTTACTTCAATTTTGTGCTGGTTTGGGTTTTCAGGCTTACAGGGCTTTTTTTTTTTTTTTAATCTAGACGCCAATATAGAAAATACAGGATTAAGAAAAAGCATTTCTAATTGCAACAGTGTGAAAAGACAAAAAGCCAGGATGCCTTGGAAGAGAAAGAAGGATGTCCTAGAGAATGGATTAAAACTATGGAACTATCTACATTTAAATACAAAACCAGAAAATCATATTGGTATTGGTTGAAAAACTAAAAAAGAAATTAGTGTTCCTTGCAATGATGATGATAAGCTGGTGATGAAAACTCTTGTTTTAGTTACCTGAGTTCAGGAATAACAGTCTTAGCTGCAGCTCTGTCTTTAGCTGCTGTTCTCTCTTTAACAGAGAGCGCTACAAAGCAGCTTCTGCTGGATACATACTGTATGTTCTGCTGAATATTTTTTCTTGGAGCAAGTATTAGTGGAATAGGATTGGCACAGAGTTGGAAAAATACCAAATAAGAAATGTTTTTTTCCAAACCAAATTGTTACAAATAAGTGAAGAGTGTGTGACTGAAAAGGAAATGGACATGAAGAGTAAAAGGGACAATGCCATACAGGTTTAGGTGACATCCAGAAAATATAACTGGTTTGGGCAGGATTGACCTATGAATGAGCCAGACTGAGCAGTGCTCAGGAGGGAATATCGGGGCTTGCATTTCTGTATTTCTCTATGTTGCATCTGTCCTTGCTCTAAAGAGCATAGAAACCCTTAAGCTTCCTGTTTACCTGTTAAGCCATTACCTGAGCATTTGTTTTGTTTTGCTGGATTTTGGTATTCCCACCAATGAGCAGGAGTACAGAACTCTGGAAAGTGAGTCTGTATAAGTAAAAGTTACCCAATCCAGCTGTAAAGCAGGAGGGGAAGGAAGGACATTGTATTCTTACTGCTTCTGTGCAGCGTGCTGTCCACTCTGGTCCTCTTGGCCTCTCCAGTTTCCTTCTCTTTCACCTTTGGCTGCATTTATTTGATGGCACCACATTTTGTCTCTCTAACTGTATGTATAGTTTAAGCTACAAACCTGAATATTATTGTATGGATTTGTTTCCATATATTTCCAAAGATTGGAGGAATGAGCATTTGGGTTTTAGATAGTGATGTTTGTGATGGTCTGGGAGTTAGAGCTGTATGCTCAGCCCCAGTGGAGCAGGCAGCCTAGCACACTCCAGAACAGCCAGCTTCAACACTTTGAGAATACCTTGTCCTATCTCCATCAGGGTTTTTCAATGTGGCAGATAAAACAACCAAACCAAACCTTTGGAAGAAGGCAGAAAATGGAATTTCAATAAGAAGAGCTATAACCAAATAAAAAGTTTCTGAACAACAATTAGTTAAACACATATCTGGAAATTATCTAGCTATTAAAAAAAAATAGACCTCAGATTTTTTCTTCTTTTTTCTAGAAAGTGTGTGAAGTTTCTTAAGCTGCCTGATGGGAAGCAGTGACCACCTAGGATTCTGTAGGCTACTGTGTCAGGGGAAATTGTAACTGCCTTTTATGGATTTATTGCATTCTACTTTTCATATTACTAGACTGTTATTTGCACTGGGCATGTTTAAATTACATTGATCTTCAGAAAACACGCAAACAAAAAATGCAAACAAAACCAGTTAATTAATTTCAAAACCTTTTATTTGAGAAATAATGTGTGAATAAATACTGTCAGATTAATGCAGTATTAGATAAGGAAGAAAATACTTTTTTTTTTTACTTACATTAGATGCTTAGGGGAAGCATTCATGGTGTCTGATAAATACTGTCAGATTAATGCAGTATTAGATAAGGAAGAAAATACTTTTTTTTTTTTTTACTTACATTAGGTGCTTAGGGGAAGCATTCGTGGTGTCTGTGGCAGCCCAGCCGATGAATCCTGTGGCCTCAGCCACAACATCAGCCAACCAGGCTGCCTAAACTTTTTCTGTAGACAACAGAGAGTGAGACCATGAACAAGGCAATCAAAACCACCTGAGTTAAGAGAGTCCTGATGAGCCAGTGAAGGAACTTCTCCCTCTCTGCTGGATATGGTGAGAATTGCATGCTTACGAAGTGCCTAAAACTGGGTGATGCCAGTTATGCTTTCTATATCACTTTTTAAACAGCTAATAGATTGAGTCTTCTATGAACTGCCATGAAGACACATACTTTGTGTTGTTTTAATTTCCCAGGAGGATAATTTTATTTCTTTCAGTTTCCTAAATTCTCCTTACCTAGTTTTTATGTGCCGTTCCTTGCACCATGATGTTAAGATCATCAGAACAACACTTTGTGATTTGGCTTATCATAGGTGCATCAAAACTGATGTGCAGTGGGAAATGTTGCTTGCTAAATTTAAACATCAAGGTGAATTGTTATTTACATGCAAGACAGCTTTATTGTTATGATCATTTATTTATTGCACTTCTAGTGTACTGGGTGCTTTGCAGCACATATTGCTAGGTGTGCTCTCTGCCCTTTGAATACTGCTATTTTGAAATTCACCTGAGGCTGATTAATCTACTCTTGAAGCTTGACAGATGATATTTTTTATCTTTTGAAAGTGAGAAAAAATGTAACCACCATTCTTTGCAAGCATCTGGAAAAATGTATATAGCAGGTGTGAGCAATTGCAATTTCCTTTCTCTGTTAATCACAATACGTAGGAATATATGCAGGTTTTATGATCTGAATGCCTTCTTCATGCAGTGTAATTCACCACCACAGGGATAACTGCTGCAGGGAATGTGAAAGATAAAGTATATATTCTTCTTCAAGGTGGTGCATTTATGTGCTCAAACCTGGTTCACTGGTTCCAACAGCTATAGCCAGGCATTAATAATGTAATTTGTGTCCGTCCATAGGGGCCTGTCAGCAGAGGAACAGGACACCTGGCCACAGAGCCAGAGTCATGAGTACAGGCTGTGCTCCAAATGTGTGTGACAGTGCTTCCCCAAGGGAATGTCATGCAGGCTGGCAAGTGGAAGGTGGACAGGGGTGGTGCCAACAGCCTCATGATGGTCCTTGCTGCTTCTGCATGTTTCTGGGCATGCTTTTAATTGTATTCACCCGGGACTCAGGAAAATGATGGATGTGTTGTAGGTATATATCACTGCCCTCTTACAGATGGACTCAATGGTAATCAGGAAAATATTCCTGAATCCCCCAGCAAGGTGCATGGTATGCTTCAGATTGAGAAAGTCTGTGCATCAAAGGGAAACAGCCTTAGCTTTCCCAGGGGTAAGATGTAAGAGCAGTGTGTGCTGTTACTCTGCTAACACAGTGATTATAATTTTCTGGAACATTATTCCAAAACTAACAACAATTCTTAATGTGGCACTGGATGTTCTGTTGGGCCTCACTGGATGCAAAGGCATCTAGTCAACCAATAATATCTTTACTAAGTCCTACTGCACAGATCCAAAGCTTTCTCTTGCTGAAGATGGCCACTTGGTACACCCTTATTTAAATGCACAGGCTGTCCTTGAAGCATGTTATGAAAGCAAAATAGATTAGAAAGATGATCTTATTTACAAACAAACTGAATGACAGTATCAAAGCTGGTGGGGTAGCACTGTGCAGTCAATTGAAACCAAGACTTAATAACTTCTCTAGTAAGGGAAAGAGGGTATTCCCCTTAACTGGCAGTAAACTTCCCTGCCTATATTTTTGGTCTGCTACTGTTTCAGTCTTCTCTAAAAAAAAAGAATTATATCAAGCTCCAGCTCTATTTTATGTTTGTGAGCTCCTTGTCAGTCTCTAGGGGTCTCTTGGAGCTCTGGTGCCTGTGCTGGATGAGGCTTTGATCTCCACTCCTAGCAAAGAACAGCTGGCTCCTTTTCTCTGTGCCTGGGCACCTGAGGTGTCCGTCATTCAGGGGCAATTACATGCTATAGCTCCCAGTCAAGTGAATTATTGAAGAGGGAAGATCCTGCTGCTCTCCTATGCTCTGGTCATCCCTCTTCAGGCTGCATAGTTTCAGCTGTCTTCTTCACTGTCTCTAGATCTAACTGTATCTAAATCTAACCTGCTTCAACCTGGCAGCACTAAACAAAAAAATAATTCCAAAGCAAAGCACAGTGCTTTTACTGTTTAGTAAGTTGAATTGACTTTATTGTACTCATAAGTTACACAAGAGAGGAGTTGAAGCTGTGTGTGTGTGGGAAAGGGAAAACAAACAAGGAAGGGGGAGAAAGTGCTGGAGCAGGACTGTTGCATCTTAAAGCAACCAGCCATTGCTTTAAGCAAGCAAATCCTCTCTGTTACACCTCTGGCTATACTCATATAATCTCAACACCTCTCTGTCTCCAGGCTTCCTTCTGCCCTGCCCATGATGTTCTGCTATTTCCATTTTACAGGAAAAGGCACAATCAGTGGGTCTCTTGACCTGGCAAGAAATTGAAGTCAGGTGAGTGACTGGAGGTGAGTTTCTGAATCACTGGCCATTCCTCCTTATTAGAAGGGGGAATTAGTCTTTCATCCTCCCTCTTAATTCCTGCTCTTATATGGTAACTGAATTTCTGCTGATGAGCACGCAAGAGTGTTTTAATACTGCACTGTAAAGGCAGAGTTTTGGTATCTTTCACCTGTCCTTTCATCCATTAACTATTACAAATAATCTGCTAGCCAGGGGGCAGAATGTAGGTTGCCTTCACGTGTTGCTGCCCTGCTGTAATCTCCCTAGTTAGCTGCCAGAATTTTCTAATTTCTAAGATAAATATGCTAGCACTTGGATATCAAATTGCAAAATCCTGTTGAGCATATTCATATCCAGGAGTGCTCCTAATTGGAGTTTTTATTAAATTTTTCTTTTTATTCAGGACTAGTAACATGAAAATATATTATGCTGTTTGAAAGCTTCAAGATAATATCCACCAAAGATTAGCTTGCTTCTACATAATAATCATGTGGCACTTAAAAGTCACTGCACAGACTGTGTATGATACTCAGGGACATGTTTAAAAGCAGGTAATCAGCTTTTAGTCTGGTCTTCTTTGCATGCAGTTTAGAGTAGTCAGACAGAAATATTCTACTCACTGGTCTTGCAGAGCTCACTTTACCCACTTGTAAAATCTTGTAGTGACATGGTACAAAGGCAGAAAACAGCCCGGTCAGACAGAAATATTCTACTCACTGGTCTTGCAGAGCTCACTTTAACTACCCACTTGTAAAATCTTGTAGTGGCATGGTACAAAGGCAGAAAACAGCCCATATAACATCTTTAAAATGAAGTAACACACTGGAGTAGAATGCCTTTGAATGATGATATATTAACTGCATTTCAGATTAGTCCCAAATAATTTCAATTATCTACATTTTGGTCAGTAACCTCTTCCTCTTGCGGAGTTCATGCAGACAGACTGCACTTTCCTTGTTCATATTCTGGGAGTATTTTTGTGGTATGGAATACTTGGTATCCATAATACAAGCTGTGCTATTTAGCTGTGATTAGTTACTTAAGGCATTTGTTATTATTTCCATTACCTAATTGGAGGAGAATAATTTATAATTAGCAGGGTTAGTTTGGCTTTCTGAATAAGGCAGTAATTTGTGGGATGGGATTTAGCAGGAACTGGAATTAGGACGTTTTCCCTTTCCGTGATTATACAGGTCTTGTCCTTAGAATCAATGCTGGAAAGTGATGTAATTCTTAACACTTTAGGAAGGGAATATCTAGATTTTAAATACTGTATTCTATTTAAAAAGGAATGCAGCTCTGCAGTCGGTACTTACTGTGAGAAGTATTGTCAGTACAGTTTGGTTTAAGTCAGGGTGTACACAACATGTGCATTGTGTCTATCGTGTACTTGGATATCTTTGATCTCTGGGCTGTGGCTCTTCAAGTCAGCTGTCAATTTGAACCTGTAACCAGTGATAGAACTGTAGACAGAGACTAAAGGTTTGGCACAGGGCTCTAGTTAAAGCCACTCCTTGCTCTTAAGGTACCTTCTGTTCTATGGTACATGTGGGGAAATGAGTTAGGATTTTTGACAGTTAGGAGCCAGGAGCTTATTGCTACTTCCACTTTTGTTTGGACTGGAAGTGTTTATAATGACACATTTAATGTTGAAGTCAGGGTAATGATGAGAGTCATGACCAGTTGCAGGCTTCTGCTGAATCTATACAGGAATATAATACTCTGGGTAGGAGTATTGTCTTTAACTCTGGACAAATCAATGTCATGTTGTTTAAAATATTATTTCAAGCTTCACTTTTGGATTGATTTTAGTAAATTATTCTTTGGTGTCTGAAGTTTTAGTTCAGTCTGTATTTGGCTTTCAAATTGCATTTTGAACCCTGACCAGTAGGAATGAGAGACTGAGATTGAAATAAAAAGTGACAGGACAGTGCATGGAGCCTCTCACTGGTCAGTGATGATTGTGTTTGAGTATTGCTTGGAGGGCAGTTTTGACCTCTGATGAGCTTATACAGAAATGCTAAGTTGGATGTTGCAGTGAATTATCTTCAGGAAGTGCTTGCTACTCTTCATGGATTACACAGAGGGACTATTGTAATCTGGTTTCTGACTCAGGTGTCTGCATTAAATACCTGTTGCTAGATGGAATTAATCAGGTATTTTCTTTTTTTTTTTTTAATATATTCCTTGTCTGGAATTTCCTCAGATTGTTTTGGTCAGCGATTGGTCTTGTCAGTTATTTTAAATAATGTTTTGAGTCCTTTTGGCAAATATGGAGATACTGTGAAGAAGGGAAAGCTGGAGTGAAGGTAGGTTAGTTCATTCCAGCTTTGTTCAGGCTTGATCTAATTCTGAAGCAAATGCCTTTCCACAAAATGTTGGGTGGAGACATCCCAGATTCTGTAACAGAGCCAGTCTGGCTATTCCTTTTGGAAAATTTTATTTCTTTCATTCTTCTGTTCAGGTCAACTTTCTGCTTGTTTCTTCTTTCTGACACATGTACAGACTCACCTTGTTCCTATACATTTGATAGAATTTTCCCAACAAGTTCAGGTATGTGAAAATATTCAATAAGCAATACTTAACCACCCTGCCCCACCCCTGAAAAGGAAATTGTAGTGGTGAAGGGGCTTGAACAGGAATCAAATCTTGCTCATCTGAGGGTTGGTATTAACACAGAATTCATTGATTTGCAGCTCTGGCTCAGGCAGGCATTTTCATTGCTCTTTCCTCCTCCTTTCCCTTCATCCTCTTAGCTGCTTGTCCTTGTCTGGCTCTTCCTCCACCAAGGTTGTGAGTATGACTACTGAATATGTTGGACTGGGGAACTGTTCTGGATAGAAAAAATTATTATGATATTGGCAGTACAGATTATATTTCAGCTGATTCACTTCCTTAGGAGACTACACAAATGTTTGTGCTGGGAGGACAGGATTGGAGGTGGAGTAGGAATGGCTTCAGCTGGCAAAAGCACCACTGCTGCCAAAGCCTCAGTCCCAGGAAAGTGCTGTGAAAGCAAAGGCAAAGCTGATCAAGTGACCAGATATGGTGTTGGCAGTGCATCTCCTTGGAGCAGGGTGTTGGACTAGGTGAGCTCCAGAGGTCCTTTCCAACCTTAATTATTTTGTGGTTCTATGATTCAAACTTAAATCCTGTTTCAGGCATCCTTTGACTCTGTCAGGCATTTGCACACATTTCATTCAGCACAAATACAAAGCTAATATCAAAACTGCTCAACAGAGGTAGAGGCCCTCTAAACATTTAGTATGCTCAACATAGTAAAAACCAGATCACATCCATACAATTTCTATTTATTAAGAACTTTTTACTCTTTTCTGCTTTATCGTAAGTAAGGATTGCAGACACAGCAGTATGTAGGCCATTGTATTTCGATTTGTTACAATTTATTAATTGTAGATGTTGTGAAAGCTGAAAGGGTGATATCTAGGTACAAACAGCAGGTAACCCTGTCAAATTTTCTGTGATACCCATGCCTGCTCTTACCATAGCCAGTGACAAAGCAGGCAGTGCCTTCTGTGGTGTGGGACTATCCTTGAAAGCTCTGGTATAATCTCTCAGGATCAGGGCCACAGTGTAGTGGTAGTAGGCTGTATAGTGATGTTGAACATATGCCTGTTTCCTTATTCCTTTGTGGCTGAAAGCCCTTTTCCTTTCCAGGTGTGTTGCCTCATGTGCAAAATGCAGAGGGAGCAAAAGAGAAGGCAGCCCCACTCTAGCTGCAGGTATGCAGATATCAAAGAAAGTGCTGAAGGCCATGGTTCCCATCCATCTGGTGTGTCCTCCTGGTATTCCAACTTTGTCAGTTCCTGCTATTTTCCAATGAGATGGTATCCAAAAAGACCACAACATGCTGCACATAGAGATCCAAGGCCAAAAAAGGAGTACTTTGTCCAGGGCTCAAAGCGATGTACCATGCTTTTTCAGCAGCCTGCACAATATCAATTAAAAAAAAAAAACTCCATAAAATTCTTTTTAGCATGAATGAAAGTCAAAACAGAACATCTAATGCTGAGATGTAAATATAATGTGTTTTATTTTGCTGTGTGGTTTGCTGCCTCATGTGGCTCTGCTTCCAGATGTTCATGGTGGGAGAAGATCATATGTACTGACCAGCCCCTGTCTCCTTTGAGTGGGGTGAACCAGGCTGTGGTCACAGCACCTGCACTTGTCAGTGATGTCACTGGTGAGACAAAGCAATCCTGAAGGAGAACTTGCTCTTTTAAAGGAAGGCAGGGAGCCATTGCACATTACATGTTGGCTTGATACGTACTAGTTGTTTGAACTAGAGAGGGTAAAATACCTTAGACCTGTTGCTCAGGCTTTATGAGTTTATTTGGGTATTGCTGATGGCTTGCTGTCCCCAGCTCTGTGCCTCACCCAGGATGTACAAGGTGCCTCTGAGTCAGCTGCTGCATCACCTCAATTTACATCATGGTTGTGGTCTGGAGTATAATAGGGCTGATTCATGTTGATTCATCAGCAGCTCAAGTCTCTATACAGTCCATGCTAGACAGAAACCTGGGACATTATTTTTCTCCTTTCATCCTATCTGAGGTATTCCTACTCTTCACCACTGCCCTTAGCTAAGCTTGACTATGGGGGGATTCAGTGTTCTGCAGTAAATTGCTGGAAGCTCTTCCTTCTCCTGCTCCACCCTCACCTTCCCTTCATTTCAAGAGATTGTCTTCAGTTGCAGAAGCACAGTATCAGATGGGTCCTGCTGTGCTGCTAACCTGTGTGTGTCTGCAGGGGGCTGCCCCTTCAGTTCTTGATGGCCTGTTGAGGCAAGTGTTTGGGAATTTTCTTTGCCTTTTTCCCCCCTCCTCACTCAACTGGGTCCTAATCTGTTCTTGTGCCTTTTAACTTCATGGAGAACTGAAGAACATTATGACACAACAACATTAAAAGTATTGCAAAATGCTCCTGTATTTTCTGCACATCAGCTTTGGACAAAGCTCACAAAATATTGTGTTATTATGAGATACAGGGAAAAATAATACCTGTTGTACACAGGCTGCTTCCTTGCTACTGTGAATGCTCCTTTCTGACCCCCTCATATTCTCTGCAGGGCAGAGGCACCCTAAACATTTCTCTAGCTCACCTCACCACTTTCCTCCTTCACCCTATACTCAGCCTTTCATTCCTATCCCTGTTTCATCCTGCTGGCTTTGGCCCTGCAGCTGTGTGCCAGGAAGTGGATAGAACCCAGTCACTGAAATAATCAAAGCTGAAGGGAACTCCATTTCTGAGGGTTATTTGTACTCCTGATGGCTGCAGCAGGACAGCACCATCATCCAGTTATCAGGCAGTGCCTGGCAGAGACAGTTGCTCTGGCTGGATAGAAACCTCTCTGGTGGATTTGCCTTGCAGAAGACTAAGTTTTGTGGAACTGCTCCTGCCTGACAGGGGCCTGTCAAAGGAGCTTCAGTATGAGCTTCAGTATAGTAAGAGTAGGGGATCCAGAGGATTGGCTCAATGAGGCCTTGAAGAGGTGGTGGGACAGGGTGAGAAGAATGGGAAGATAGGTGGAAATGAGGGTATGAAAACTGAGTGCATCCAGACAAGGCTGCGAGTACTGTCAGAATGGAGACAGAGTTAGAGGAGGCTTTACTGGGGAGGGAGAAAGCTGAGCATCAGATCAAGTAGATGGGTGTTGAAGGGGAATGTCATATTTTCCTAGACAGGTATAGCTAGAAAAAGCTCTGGCACCCTTCCAAGCACATTGACTTTCAGCGATATGCAGATGAGTTTATGTGCCTGAAAATCTGTCTGCTTCCCTTCCCTTTAATTTAATAAGACCTGGCCTTACACTTACTAATACTGCCTTGGTCATATTCTCAGCCCATCACAGCTCCAAAAGCCACATGAGCACAACATGCGAAGTAGAGACAGAATGATGTCTAGAGAACTGGAAGTTCTAACTGGAAGTTCCCCTAACTGGCAGTTAGGGGAAAAATTCAAAGACAATTCTTCTTGCCAACTTTCCTAAGTCTGTGTTAAAAACAGGTCTCTAACTTCCTTAAGCAGTCTCTGCCCAGCAGTAGATTTTACATTCTCTGGGCTCCCTAGAGTTCAAACACCTTCAATGTCTAAAAATGCTCACCTCGCAGTTCTATAGCTGAGTCCATCTTGGCTTCCATCAAAATTAGCAGAGCTACCCAAATATTAGATATTATGAGAATTAGTCTTTTTCTGTTACCTTTCTGCACATTTTCCCCTGATCTTTACTGCCTGATGCTAAATGTGCCCACCATTTGTGTCAGAGCTCTGTCCCTAGACTTGCCATGGCACAGACACAGTGTGGAGGAAGTCCCCTAGCCTATGGTAACACACAGCCCTCGTGTTTTGGGTTAGTGAAGGGTAAGCAATGGTATACAATTTCAGGGACGATCACTGGTTTGCAATCTCTCCAGGAAATTGTAATGTTCACTTAGACACTATCCTTAGTCTGAATATGTTAAACCCCTGGTGAAAAGATAGCCACAATTTAAGTTAATTGTACAGTTACTGGAAACAATAAGAGTTCTCTTTGTAGTCAGTCCTCCCACTCATGGCATCAGCTGGTTTTGTATCCTTGCTATCTCATACCACAAACTAGTGGGGAGAAAAGAGTAATTCTTGACTTTTTTTTTTTTTTTAGGTGGAGGAGGCAACATGATTGCCTTCTGTGCAGCTTTATTCACCAGCAAGCTTGCATTTAACTGCAATTTTCGAGTGTCTCACAAAAGATTATCACATGGGTCCTGAGAAATATCAGCAGTGATACTGCCACTTTATTGTGAAGAAAACAAGACAAAAAAGAAGTGAAACTGAGGGAACTGGTGTCAAGGCTTTCTGTCTCTAGTTTTAAGGTTAGTTTGTTAAAAACTGTTTTATGGGGAGGTGAGCTGTTTTCAAAAGGTTTTTTGATAAAATGCTATCCAATGGTAATGCTTCCATATTTTTCTCTCCTATTTACACCACAGGGCTATGGAATATGTAATGAGGCAGCATTCTGTTTCACCAGTCCTTAAATCCTGAGAAAGAGAAACAGGCTGTTTGCCTTTGAAGTGATAACAGTTGATTCCAAAGGATCCTTGGGCTTGTCATTGATAGGAGAATGATCTTCTTCAAATGGAAGAACACTGTTTTGGACCTTAAGGACTTGGGAACCAATGCTGGCAAGAGTTAGATATTGCTGTGCAAAGAACTTTTCCCTGGGCATTCAGAAGGAATTTTCAATAGCTCTGTATGTTTACTCCCCAAAGCAGGAATTTCTGTCTGCTTTCTGTGGACAAATGCTGGTGAAAGCAAATGCCAAACCATGGCAGCACATTAAGGCCAGAAAAACTGCTCAAAAAACCAGATTGTTCCTCTTCCCTTTTCTCAGTCAGTCATCCCTATTCTTATGGAAACCTTCTTACAACTGCAGCATAAGCATTTGTATGACTTTGTGGGGAACTATATTGCAAAAATTGCACATTTTTTCCCAGGGGCTGTTTTTCATCTGGATCAGTTCCTTGATCTGGTTAACCATGCAGCCACACAAATATTTGTGATGGCACAGTACAACAGATGATCTGGGAGAAATTGTGGGAGTGGGAGAAAGTGTGGAATGCTTTATTGGTAATCATGTTCACTTAAAAGAATACCAAACTGTAGCCTAAAGAAGAAAGGAATAGCAGTGGGATGACACATCTGAGAAGGGAGTTGAAGCATGTGCATTATTCTTCAGAAATGAAAACACAGCTTCAAATATCAAATGGTGTCATTACAGGGGGTGAATATCAGCTGACACAGCCATTTCCAAAAGTTGCAGTCTGCAGGCAGGGAGACTGTTCAGTATTTTGGTCTGTCTGAAACTTCACTTTGAGGGAGCTAGGAAGTAGAAGATGCAGATGGTGGATCCAAAGGGCTGAAAAAGCAGTGCTGTGCATGTAGATGACCCTGTGCCTCCATGTGATCCAGAAGATGTGAAGTGAGAGGTTACGTGACATTGTTTTGGATAAACATGCTGGTGTCTCTGTGTGTTTGTGTGTGCACAGATGGGTTCTTGTTCTGCTATTTTCTTAAAAAGCTGTGCTACTTGCAGCACTCTTCAGGGCCCTGCACTTTGCAGTGGCACAATAACCTGTCCAAGTCCTCACAGAAAGATGACATGGCTCCTTGTTCCATGTTGCTAGTGTTCATCCTGACTTCTGTCACTTGACACTTGGGCTTGTGTGGCTTTGGGAAAGAACCCCTCTGTACGTGCCCATACCCACCAAAACTGACTTTGCTGAGCCTTTGATGGCCTCTGACATTTGCTTAAATATGTCTGAGTTTTATGCCAAAATATCCTAGTTCCAGTGCATTCAGATTGAGAGGAGTGAAATTGAATAAATGTTGTTTCCTGCTTCCTGAGGCTCTGCTGCATTTTATGAAACCCTTCAGAGACAATTTCCAATCCAGAAGGGAGCTCAGAACATGCTTCACCATTATTAAGCTAAAGCACTTGCCAAGTCTGTTCAGAGCCTTACAGCTACATGTGTGCTGAAATGCCTTTCTGGACAGTGGTTCAAAATGCTGGGCTATGTCAATGCTGCAGTTTCAACTCCCAGTTTGTATCTTTTCTTTCTCTACAGGACCCAAGATATAACTGAGACACATCCAAGCTAATTTTGAACATGTTAACTCGGTTGCATACGGCAATCTAGTTAAGGAAGGAAGGAGTTAATAAAGAATGTTCTGTCAACAAATCAAGGTAGATTAAGCAGCAATGAGCTCCATGGTGCTGCAGGTTTACAACTGTTTCTGGTCCAAAAGACAAAAATTTGATTATTTTCACATGGTATTTTGGGGGCTGTCATGCCTTTATGTTGTGAGGAACTCTGCTTCTTGAATACAGCTGAGATAAGTATTCCCTGTTTACACCTGCCTTTTAAGGGATTCTCTTGCCCAGTGCTGCATAGTCTCATGGTTGCACACAAGGTAAGAGAAGGGGTTTGTGCTCTGTAGTCAGTGTTGTGGGAGGATGGACCATGTTCAAGTACTTTGATTCCAGACTAAATGCCAAGTCTGTTTTAGCCTGGCACGTCTTGTGTTAGTGTTTCCAGGGACAGATGAACCAGTTCCTTTCAGAAATGTTTTTTAATGAATGAAGTTCTGAATATCCAAGTGACACTTCATTATTCACAGCTACTTTATTTCAGTAGCTGATATTTCAGTCAGTATCTCCCTAGCTTTTAAGTGAATAACATCATTATACCTTCACTTTTTCAGAGGCTCTCAGGATCAAAGATGTCAGCTACACTGTGATCTTCATTAGAAGGGAAAGACAACAGGGAGAGGGCTGGCTCATGCACTGAAAAGATCTTCTAAAACTCTTTGTCTCTTCAGACCATAATAATGGAACAATGACTCTCACTGGGTAATGGATGCAGGGTAAGAAGCAGAACAGGGCTGAAATCAGACAATTTGGTAGTTTTATTTTGTGCATGGGGAAGGTGCTTTCCAGGTCATTACAAATGCTTTGTTGCCCCTGTATTTAACTGCATTGTAGGAAATTTGATGGGAAGAATGACCTTGGAATAGGTTTACAGTTCCAGCTGCTGCAAATTTAAGGGCAGGATTGTTGGCTTATAAAGCTATGAGTGAAAAAGAAGCAAAAGTTAATCAATTGCAGGACCAGAAATATGAACCACTTTTTTAGTACTAATGCTGCATCTTTGCATAACTATATCAGGGCCCTGAGGGCACCCCCATTTCTGACTAGCCTTGCCCAGCCCTCTGGGGCTCCCCCCACACTGCCTAGAGCCCAGGATCCCACGTCAGCTCCCTGGGGCTATTAGTCTTTGCTCCCGTGATGGGGCACAGCAGCAGAGGCACTCTCCAGCTGCCCACAGCCCTGCTCAGCTGTGAGTGCCCCAGGCTAGGACCAGCACAGGCCCATGTCCCCACAGAGTTACCCAGTGCCTGGGGCTGGGACTCTCTTGGCTTTCCTGGTGCCTCCCCAGCAGCTCTGCTTTGCCGTTTCTCATGGGAAGACCTCAGCCTTTGCAGGGCTGTGACAGTCAGGTTGCTTTTCCTGGAATTCAGCCAGCACCTTTCTGAGGGCTTTTTTTCCTGGTGCTCTGTCAGATGCATGAATACATCTGAGCTGACTAAAAATATTCTTATCTATTATTCAATAATCTCTTCATCTTTCACCTTGCTGCTGGGTTGCTTTGTAAAACTTTAACAATAAGTTCATTTGATTGAAGTGGAGATAAGGAGTCAGCTCATAAGTGCAGATTTTTGCTGGAGAATGATCTGTGAAACTCATGTGTATTTGGCCTGTCTGCTTATTTCAAGACCTACAAATCCTACCATAGGTAGTGCCTTAAGAAGTGGGTTCTTGTTTATTTCCACAGTCATTTCAAGTATGTAACATAGGACAAGCATGTTCATTAACCTTTATTTAAAAATATCTACTACAAAAGCACTGAGCTCTAAAACCCAGAAATAGCAAATGAGCTATTCACCAATATGAAGCAATGCTCTAAACAGAGTCTTTTCATCACTGTACTTTTTTATTTGGATGATTCTTTTTTATCAGAATAATTGGTGAATGTATTTAACAATGTTGCCTTAAAGAGTTTATGACAGCCATATGCTTGGGGCTGGAAGAGGGGGAGGAAGGGAAGGTGACTAACATGGGAAGATATTGCAGACCACAACAAATTTTCCTTCTTTTCCTGCGTTGGCTATTATAACACAGTTCTGGTTTTGGAAATATGTGGTTTCTATTTTTGCTCCTGAAAATAAAAAGAAAGGAAATACATTTTTCAACAACATTGTGATAAGAAAATGTCATTTTCTAGCCTGCACGTGTGCTTGCACTATGCACAGGTGGTGTGAGAATGTCTGTTTCATGAAGACTTGTTCAGGAGTGATAAGGGAAGCCTATCTCTAACCCAGGCCATGGTAGTATGTGTGCTCTGAAACACTTGTCCTACCAACCTCAGAAAACTACAGATACTACAAAGCATCTGAGGGGTTGGCCCAGTACAGATTGGTAGATATCTGTGGCCTTCTGCTGCTTTTGCCATCAATGTGATAGGTGTGATAGCAGTGGCTTTTCCATGCTTACTGAAGAATCTCTGTCACTTGTTCTATCCCTCCAGGTTTCCTGTGTAAGCAGTACTGAAAAATAATCTATCTATTTTCTCAGGACTTCCTAGAATCCTGGTCCCAAAGGAAGGGAGCGTTAAAAGCATTTTTTAAAAAAGACTTGTTAATTAAAAAATGAATTAAAAATATCTTATTAAACTTCTTTGGCCTTAACTATACTGAGAAAAGATACTGATCTAGCACATAACTTACATAAACTACAGTTGTGTTTAACACTGTAAGAGTATGTCACAAATTTCTGTCCTTGCTCATTCCAAGGACAAAATGATGTTTAACATTGGGATAGTTAGAACACAATTTTACCTCATATATTTTAACACTGCATTTTTCCTGTATAGTGTTAAGCTTAGTTATTCTAATTTGTATTCAGTAATGTGTTTCTAATTTTGTGGCTGTTGTTCCCTAAGGGTATTTGGAAATGAGATTCAGCATTTAAAAAATGCTTAGATGTAACAGACTTCTAATAATGAAATCAATGAAAAGAGTATTTCTAACTATAAATCCTGAATACTTTATCATTAATACACGTAAAGTTGCTACTGTTTGTTGGGTATTGAGTTTTCCATTCCTGGTGCATGTAACCACTTATTTCTCCTGGGATTATTCTGTGCACATCTGAAAATCTCCATTCAGAAGGGCCAGTTGTTTTCCACCAAAGTGTATGTCAGAAGTGCTAGAATCCACAGGAAACCTTTTAAAACAAGAGGGCTGTGTGGCCAGTACAAGTGTTATGGCTTTATGACCAAGAAGCTGGTTTAATTTGGAAGCAACACCAGAAATTTCCTTTGACATAGAAATAAGTGCAATTTTTCTTTCACTTATCTGGAAAAGTTGGCTTACTCCAGATCTGGAAGGAGGCATGTATGGCTAGGCAGGATTCAGGAACTTTCCAACAGTGGCTGTTCATCACCTGTGTGCAAAGGTGATCCATATCTTGCTATATATTTTGCCTTCTCAGTAGATGGATTTTTCTCTTGGGGGAGCTCTTCTCCATGCTTCCTTGTTGACAGCAGCTTGTCTGCTCTACCCTGTCTCCCCAGCATTTTTATCTGAACCATTGAGGGTATCTGGAGGTAAAAGGAAAGTCCCAGACCAAGAACTTTGGAATGGCCAGTGCTCACTTTCCCTGATGGCCATAGCATCAGCAAAGGTGTCAGTGTGACCTACACTTGCAGATTTCTTGATTTACATACATGTAGATTACTCATATAGGATAATGTGTTTAAAAAAGGATTATCTTGCTGGGTCTTGTTTTCCAAATATAAGCCCAGAGCAAGTTTTACAGCTGATATACAACAGCCTGATAGAAATATTTATGGTGGAAATGCCAGCTCTTTAATGCCAGCAACACCATGATCACTTAGTCAGTGGAGGACTTCGTTGTCAAAATGACTCTTTCTTTTGCAAATGACAATATGTTTGGGCAATATTGCTTGGTTCTTCTAAGAGTAGAGGCTCTGTGCTGGTTGGTGATTAGCCAAGCCCACAGATCCTGGGTGCCAATGTCCCCATGCAGCTCTGCCAGGAACAGTAAGGGTGGTTGCTCATGCAGCACTTTTCATCTTCAGGTGGGTTCACAGAGGCTGTGGGACCCAGCTGCACTCACTTTGGGCTGCAGAGCTCCAGTGCCAGCTCTTCTGTGGCTCGAGGCAGGAATGATCCTGGTGGTATGTGGGACACATGCTGCCTGTCACTCCACATGTTGCTTGGAGAAAATGCAGCATGTGCCCTAAGGCAGAACATGCAGCACAGCCCAGCTCAGGCACTTTCTGCTTGCCATGGCTGGCTACCATATCATGCCTGCCTGGAGACAGGATTTCTCTATCAGACTAGATAGGCAACTATATCTTTATTCAGATATTTTTAATGGAAACACACCCATGAAGCATAAGGCTTCCTAAATTCATTAGACTACTCTGTGTGTGACTATGGGGGATTTTCTACCTCCTTTTGATCTTGATTTAATTTTCCAGACTTGGAGTACTACTGGTAAAGAATGCCAAATATGTAAAATTATATCGTGTGTCTGAGTAGCATTTAGTGTCCTCATGGAAAAAATGTTGACATGGCAAGCTCGTGACAGGGCACTCTGCCTTTGTGGAACTGCTGGACAACCTTTCTGTGGACATGCCCGTAGGAGATGTTCAGAAACAATGGCCTCACATGTTGGTACAGACAGAAGCTATCTAGAATTTGGATAAAAAGGCAAATGTATTTACTGAGCCATTCTTGGTAACACAACAGCTTGCACAGTAATATATTTGTTATCATTGGCTTGATTTAGCAGCAGGTTATGTTCAGCACATAATGAATAAAAACTCATGAAAAATAATATTGTGATCTAAGACCACTGAGCTTCAGCTAACATGGTACATTGCCTGCTTTCAGTTATGCTCAATTCAATGAAAATTAGTGCCAGTTGTGTTTCATTAGTACACCAGAAAGAGAGCTGTGTTTTTGTTTTCCAGAAAGTTGCTGAATCACATCACTGTGCAGAGTATATTCCTCAAATGGCCTTTCTCTAATGATGGGGGAAAAAAAAGCAAAAAAGAAAGCAGCAACAAACCTGTCAAATTATGAACCATATTATGAGGAAAAGTAATAGTATCCTTTTATTTTATTATATTTTTTATGCTGCATTGCCTTGGAATTGAAGGGCATAATATATTCCTTTTCTCTTTTACTGCTGCATGGCTTGTGCTTAACTATTTATGTTGCAGTGCTAAGACCTGTTCTTGTTCCCCAGGAGAAACACACTAAAGTATTATTAGACCTAAGTGCATGAGAGGTAAAGCTTTTAGTACCTTTTTTTATGTATAAATATTGCATACTTTATACCCATCCTTAGACTTTTACAAAAAGATAAGTTATCTGATACACTCTGGTGGCCAGTCTTTCTACATGAAGAACTCAGAGGTGCAACATGGTGAAAAATGCATGCATGTTTGCCATGTATTATGCTCTGGTTTTTATTTCTGATTGTTATTTTTAATTTGAGAATGCATGTACTGCTTGGTCAAGCCCTGAACAGGTGTTTTTAGCTGCTAGTCCTTTGGTCTCTGAGACTGAAACTGGGTTGGTTTAATAACACCAGTTATTAAAGTTTTTGTTAAACTTTCTTTTTTGTCACAGCTGCCTATGTGTTAGAAAAAGATCTTATCCTCTGGGGTTTTTCGGCTATAATAAACACAGTAAGGTAGAGGCTTTTGGTACAGATTTGCTCAGCAAACACAAACCTGTCTAGGATGGGCCTTCTGGGCTTTACAGCCACAGATATAGCTACCAGCTTTCTGAGCCTCCAATACAGGTATACATGGCTTAAAGAATTAAACATTTTTGTGTATGCACAAGTGAATTCAAATACATGTAACATTCAGTTCAGTCACATTGCCTCTACTGACAATAAATAACTATGACATTTCTATGTACTCTGTCTTCTGAATTGGCTCTGCTTAATACTGCTTCTCTTATGTTGTCTGTGACACGGTTAGCCTTTTTTAAGTTTTTCTTTTTGTTCAACAGGAAATGCCAGGCTTTTCTGATTGCATCTTTTCTTGTCTTCTATTACTGCTCTATTACTCTGGCTGTAGGTGTTGGAAGATGAAATTCTGCTCAACTTCCAGGCAAGCAAATCTCCATCCTGCAATGTGCAGAGAAGCTGCTGAAATGCTGGGACAGAGACCGAGGGAAACACTAAGAAATTCCTGACTCCCTGTAGGGTACAAAGTGTGAACACAGAGAAGAGGGAGGAGGAAGATGGCAGGTGTGAACCTGCAGCTCTCTTGCCCATGCCCTGAGAGCAGCTCTGGTGCTGCTCCCTCTGTTTGCAGGGCAACTGTTCTAGCCCTTGCATAGGGCTCTACTTCTGCAGATATTTTCCTCCTCTACCTTTCTATTCCTTTCTCTCAGGGTCATCACTTAAGGTTTTTGCTGAGGAAAAGAAGGCAGCCTGCTCCCTCTATAGGCTTCTCTGGTTGTTGCTTTCACGAACCAGCCATCCAGGGGATCAGAGCTGCATGCTTTTGAAGACTGTCAAAAACGCTGAAGTGAGATGTATTTTGCATTTATTTTAAATTTAGAGATGTTTTTTGGTGTGTAAATGTGTGTGAATATGCATCTGTGTGTGTATGCACGTGTTTGTGCATGCATATGCCCACATACATTCTCTAACACCTATGTATATAGCTACTTTTCCTGCAAAAGTCATATATGGAGCTGTTTTAGTGTTTAATTTTAGTCCTTTTTTTAGAGCAAGTGCATGATCCTTTCATGTGAACTTGCTGTTTGTTAATGGTTTATGACAGCAACCTCCTGACTGCATCTTACCCTTATTAATGGAAGAGACACCACCTGAGCCAGCAGTTCCATGAGCTCAGGCATGCTTCCTCCAGTGTCCTCTGCCCCAACTGCTTTTCTCTCCTCTCTCTCCCAGGACTTTGCCTCCTCAGTTGCACCAGCACTGCAATTTGTGGCATCGTTCTGGTAAGAAAAGCAACCTGTATTAAGAACAACTCTGTAAACAAAAAGCCTATTTGTAATTTGGATCAGCTCAGTGACCTGATTTGCAGCACAACCCCAAAAACATTTGCAGAGAAGCATGAGTGTGAAGAAGCAGCCAGAGGCAAGGAGGAGTGTGACACAGAGGTTCCCAAGCTGTCCTTGCAGCTGAAGTCCCCCTTTTGTATAACTACAGCTGCCAGTGTACCTTTGCTCTGGCACAGATATCAAAGGGAATTCCCCTGCACTGCCTGAAGTAACACTTTAGGGAAAAACTGACACATTGGTGAGTTATATATTAACCATTATAGAAAGTGGCAGCGTGACAAGGCAGTGAGTTACTGATAAAAAAAATAGCAACATTTCCATTATGCAGAGCATGGGTAATAGCTCCGAGGAAAAAACGACTCAGCTCTTTCCACTAAATTATACTGTTTTCAATTCTTCCATATTTTCTGAAATGTGAATATATTGTTCAGATGTTTTCAATGCTAAATAAATGCCTCTGGCTGTTTCTTGTGGGTTGCTGAGGGGAGAAGGCAGGAAATGTTTTAGCTAAGATGATGCAGCTATTTCCAAAGAAGTGTCAACAGAATAGCATACAAAATTTCAGGGGTTACAGAAAAAAAATTAATTGTAGCAGTCATTCAACACTGTGCTAAGTTTTCCTTCCCAAGGTCTGACCTTGCTCTATGTTCAGCATTATCAGAGATCTGCTGCAATGAAGTTTAGGTTCTTATGTCTCATAGGACACAAATTAATTGCTTTAACTTAAGTTTAAAAGCAGAACCTTGCCAGAGATGACAAATGGGAGTATTATATATCACCAGTTAAATGACTAATGTTTTATTTGTCTTTGAAGTTTCTGGTGAAAGCTGAAGCGTAATGGTGAAAGAAAAAAATCATTTAAGTTACATAACACCTCACATATGGAATTGATAATGCTCTGTTTTTATATGGAATACATTACTCTTCGGTGGTTATATACATGCATATATATCTATCTAATGAAGATTATTGCATTTGGTGTCCAATATGTGCTGTGCATTTATTTAGGAGACTCAGGAGATTTTAACTTTTTGACTGAAGATGAGATTTTTTTAATAGAAGATCCTTCTTTTGGTCAATGTATTCCACTACTTAATGAAAAGAACCTGTCTGTGTTTCAAGTCAATTGTTTGGTTTTCAAGAGACATTTTTTGGCCTTCAAAACCACAAAAATGATTCTTGCTTTAGATCAAAATACCATCTTTTTGAATTGAAAAAAACCCCAAACCTAACCACCTTTTTTTTTTTTTTTCCCCAAAGCACTTATTTCAGGAGTAAAATATTTCTTTAAAGTTGTATGTTTGGAATTGAATTGCATGGAATTTATGTAGCTGAGGCTTTAAGCACACTTACATAATGAATAATATAACCAAAATCCCTGAGGTCTTTTTATCAGGAGCTCAGCTAGACAGGCACTTAGAGATACCCTTTTTCTATTCCCAATCCTATTGGAAGTATACTCTGCACTTGACAAGGTGAAATAAAAAGGGATTCAGATAACAAAGAATGATAATAAATACTAATGCATATAGGAGAGTTGAGGGTAGGCCATGTTCAGGGCAGGATATTGCTCAAGTGTGTTTGGGAAGGGAAGTACTGACAGGGATTTCCTCTCCACCCCTTAGATCTGCTAACGTCTTCATGTGGGTCTGGGTTGCCCTGGCATGTGGAGGCTACATCTCCTTTCATCCCACCCTGACCTCTTGAGGAAAACAGAGACATGAGTAAGGGAGATTAATTATTCTGCTTAAATAGCTGGTGCTGGCTGCCAAGGAGGCAACCTGTGACAGAGGAGAAGAGCAGTGAAAAGCAAAAAGGTAGTCAGGATTAGGTCAAAAGAAAGGCTAAGCCAAACCAGAGAGAGAAACATTTAGGCAAAGACTTAGCCTAGGGATGAGTGAAGCAGAGTTTCAACGGGATTGATAAAATCCAGGATACAAGTGTACTTAGGAATAGTATGATTGTTGTTTGGAAGCAAGGGCACTGTATGTGTACTAGCACTGCAGATACTGACCATCTCTAGGCTGGTGCCAGAGGTCTGTCACATACACCATTTGGAATTGCTGCCAGTTTTCTGAGTACAGCATGTCCAGATTACAGGTCTGCAGTAAGAAGCACACAAGTTATGCTTGTATCTGGTATTCAGACCCCAAGAAAAGGGCAAAGAAATGTAGGTCTTCTATGTGACAGTTTTGATCAGTCTTATCAGAAAAAAAAAAAAAAGAAAAAGCTTTGTACTTGCCCATAAATTAAACACCTGTTGTGATTAAAATACAACAACCTCAATTTCTGCTTGTTGGAAATGTTCTGCATACAGTCTTTGGCAGCATCATTTCTCCTCACAGGAAGAAGACTGTAAGACAACCCAGCATTACTTTTCAGATGCCATCACACTATTGCACCACCAGGGTGTTGCAAAGAATGCCCAAACCTCTCAAGGCTTGGGAGTGATATATTTGTTACTGTATGCATGATCTCATCTTCAAAGGAAGATTAGCATTAACAAACTTTAGATGGTGGAAAGGGAGGAGTTGGTTTAAAATTCATTTCAGCAACAGTAGGGTTGAGTAATAATAAAAAAATCCATTATTGTATCATTGTCCTCTTTTCCAGTTCTTCATGTAAGTGTTCATTTTATTTCAGCAGAGGCAATCACCACAAAAATCAGGACAAACTAATTTCCCATGTATGTGCCAAAGCAATGTCAGAAGGTGTGTGCAGAGCAGTTGGTATGTCTGCTTGGGCTGCTCAGTGGGGCCATGAAGATCATGCTTTGGGCTGGGGGCAGGCACCTGTGACTGCAGGGCAGAGGAGGGAGCTGCCAGTAGCTGCCAGCAGCTCTGGTGTCAGACTCATGCAAAGCATGACTAAAACAATGCCACTTCTGAATACAAAATTCCCCAGTTACTTTCTTGTCCTAGTGAGAAGAGCTCTGCAGATGTGGAGACAGGGACAAAAGCAGCCAGTATTTCCTCTCTTTCTACATGCTAGTCAGCCCTGTTCATGGGGCACTAGCTCATCTCTCTGTCTTCTGAACTGAGAAAAGAAGATGCTTCTCTTCCAAGTAACTAATGAATCATCCCTTTTAGTACATAGCATGCATGACTGCATTGTTAAAAGCAGTCTTAATCATTCACTGAGAAAAATGTTATTGATCATTTCTCCCTTTTAGTTGTTAAGTGGAAGCCTTGGGAGTTGTGACTCAGAGGCTGTGTGCTGTGGCAAGCTCAGAAAGACTTTAGTAGATTTTTAGATAATTGTAGGAGCCCTCTGCATCTTATTCCTCCCATCTTCCTAGTATTGCTATAATTTGGAAAAATTGTAGATTTCTTAGTCTTATATGATTCTAAAAATCACTGTTTTGCAGATGGATTTAGCCTGATTTACACCAAAATTTAACTAAGAGAAGGCTTTGTGGTAGGCAAAGACTTGTAGCAGGGGACAGGGCAAAACAGCCCCTGGGCTGGAGGAAGCCCAGCCCCCCTCCCCCCATTTTGTCTTTAGCTCTGTAGTGGTGTTGGACATGCTGTGCATACCTCACTTCACCCTGGCTTATGAGCATAGGACTATGTCAACAGAACAGTGAAATAAGGGAAAAAAAAGTAGAAAAATTGTAAGGTTCTTGACAGCTTCCTAGAAAGAGAATGAATGGGTGGGTCTGAGGTAAGAAATAAATTGTCTTGTTTACTTGGAATTGTCAATGGCAGAGAAAAGTGAATAGGTAAAATATTTGCAATGTGGTGTGGGAAAAAGATGTATCTGTAGCTATTTTAAATGTAGACAGATACACTGAATTACATACTTGTGTATTAATTGCATAAAAATACTAGGGTGAAAGATTATTATTAATGCCAAATGATAAGGTTTTCAAGTGGTGCACGATGCCATAGTTAAGACAGTCTATACCCTCTTAAATCAGTCTTTCCATGTTTGTATGTCTATTATGTGAGTATAATATGGCTGCTGTCTATTATTACATCCAACTTATTTAATTGAACCAGTCACTTGTTCATTCCTCCACAAAAGCAATAGAAGCTATAGGGCCTCCATGGACAATGAGGAGGAGTAAGACATGTAGGGACATTTCTAGTAGTGAGTGATTGAAGCATGGTTGTTGTTATCATTTTTTTTCTGTTATTTCTCCTAAATAACCTTTCTCATTCATTCTGAACAGAGAGCTTTCCCATGTGGCTCTCCATGACACTACATGACATATTGCTGGACAGCAGGTCCTCTGCTCTCCCACCACAGCCTTCCTTGGCTTCTGGAAAATGGAACCAACCTCTGCTGTGAGCAGACACTTGGGAGGCAGGGCTAAGAGGGGTAAAAAGGCACCCAACTAGTGATTGATTGTGTAATGATACTAAAACCCATGCATTACAAGACTTCATCATGACTGTAGCTGGGAGTAAAGGTGATGTAAAATAATGCATGATAATAGTTTTCTTTCGGTGCCTTTGCCTAGCCAAAGATAAGTAGCTTTTTGTTTCTTGGGCTGTCATTGTTGGAAAAAGTATTGCCATCAGCTGTAGGTCTTAAAAATAACCTTTGATATATGGAAAGGAAATGGGATTTATTTTGAGACAGAATCTTGCCCTCCTGGTGCACTGCTTGATGAATGTGGTCACTTGATGGAAGCATGCTGCCATGGGGGAACAGCCCTTGGGATCTGTCCCTGTGTCAGCTCAGCTCTCAGATAATGACAGAAATCCTTGTGGAGGAAGCAGGTGTTCCCAGTGGTCTCACAAAGAAAGAACAGACAAGAAGACGTTTGAGAAGAAGGGCATACTAAAGACCATAGCAAAACTTCATTTGGCATCTTCAAGGGAGGATTCAGTGAGACCAGAGATTTAGAGTAAGCCTTGCTGTGGGATAGCCCTGGAGAAAAGCTGAGAAGCTCCAGAGGCCTCCCCAGCCATCACAGGTTGTTGGTGGGGGTTCATGTTTTGTGTGATGACCCTACAGATGCAGAAGAGTGTAACTTGTAGAGCTCAAATCCAAGCCATCCTCTGAACAGGATCTAAAAGATCCTATAAATTCAGGGAGAAGCAAATAATAACTGTACAAAATTCTAGCTTTTACATAATTTTGTCTTGGGAGGAAATAGTCTGGGCCTTGACAGTTGAAAGTGGACAGACCTGCTATAATCATCTGTAACAGTTTTTGCAATGGAAAGACAGTTATAGTAGTCAGCACTTGTTCTTTGTGAGTAGCAGACATCAGGAAACCAATATCTTTAATAAGAAACAGCAATTTGAACTTCTGACTGTGACTTCAGTTTGAAGTCTCTTTAATACTCTTATAATATATTTCAGTTTAATAACCTCATTCAGCATCAATTTTTGCTTGGATCGGAGAGCACCTTTTATTATCTGCTATTTCTTACATTTATACGAATAGTACTTAAACATCAAAGGAACCTTAAAAAAAATAAGCTGTTTGGATCACTTCAGTAAATTGCTTATTGCTACGAATTGCCCACCACTTCATAAAATCCCTTTTTGTTTTATGGCTCTTCCTTGCAAAGCTCCAGTGAGACTGAGATAACTCCATATCTGGTATCCCAATATTTAAAGTATAAGATTGTGACCCTCAATTAATTCTTTCCTCTTCCTTTTCCCATGTATTTCTAAGTCTCTGGTCTCCTTGTGAAACTTCAGAGCCAGGCCATTGCATTGTGCATTTGGAGGATTCCCACTGGTTCCCATACTCAACCAAGTCTATGGTTATGGTCTCATACACCTCTCTGACAAGGAACATCCACATGCTGTCCAACTTTCCATGTCAACAGAGCCTCAGGCTGTGTTTCTCCCTAACAGGAGAGTGACACCAGTCCTTAATGGGAATCAAAAGTCAGGATGACCAAAAAGCCCTGCTCAGTCATGAACCATGTGTAGTGGGTTTTCTCTTCCCTTAGTGTAGACTGGAATATTGATTTCAAAACCATACTGGGGTGAGGTCCCACTGTGTGCAAGAGAGCCAAGCTGAGAATGAGCCAACATTCATGATTGGGAGATTTCTTTGAATGTCACACTGAAACTCCTCATTTCATTTTCTGCCTTGGGCCATGCAACAAAATGGATGTCCTGTACAAATTATTGTGATCATAATATTGCTGGGCAGCTGGGAAATGATGTAGAAGTAGATGATCCTCGCCTTCTTCCTAAAGACAAAGGACACTTTTATATTTTTGCAACTATACTGCCAGAATCTGGGAATACATTACACAAGCTGAAAAAATTTAAGATTTTCATACAAATCAGTATTGTCCAATTGCCTACAAAAAAAAGGTGTTATTATTACCTATGGGAAATCTCTGTATTTGATCAGAAATGTCTAATATGAATAAAATGCCTTAACTTCAAAGATTTTCCATTTCTTGATTGTTCAAATCACCTGGCAAACTCATCAAGATATTTTGGTGCGCTAAACACATATTCTAGCCTGGTAGTTAAATCACGACTGAGACATTTTTTAGGTTGAATGATTTTATTTTGTACTGTAATATTAAATCTTAAAAAAATCTTTATATGATGCTTTTCTTGCTTCTTTGGTATTAAAACTTTTTGAGGCAGATGTGGTCCATGCTAAAACCTTCTACAATATAATATCCAGTTTTAGGTGACCATTTCAGTGCCAAGCTGGAAGCTAGGAGTGAGTATTTATTTTTGGAGCAGATACATCACTGACATTGCTCTTAACATTACAGCTAACACTCATCTAAGAAAAGAGAGGTATAGAGGCCAGCCTGGGGTTACATGGCTTGGCAAATAGGGCTTCAGAGTACTTAACTGTAGATCAGTAAAGCTACCAGCAAACAGCACAAATTCAGGTGTTTTGCAAATTTATTCTACCTAACAAAATGTATTAACATTGTTTTAAAGCAGTTAATGTCTTCTGGCCAGCTTTATAATGAATATGATGTGGAAGATTTTTTTGCCTGCAATCAACTTGCAGTCAACAGAAAGTGTAAAACTGCTTTAATACTATAACCCACACTCTTCTTAGCTTAGAGGATACAGAAATTCAGTGGTGCATGTGTATTTGTTCCAGATTAAATCTGTATTGTTAGTTGACCCAGTAATGCATCTAGCTGGCATTAATGGAAAGGAGCATCAGCTGCTGAATGGTTGATCCTTGATGACTGTGTAACCATGTGGCATTTCATCATGCCACAGGATGCATTTTTCTTTTTCCCTCACTGATACCCAGTCCTTCTTTGCCCTAGGCTTTTGTACATGCATTTTATTTTCCATTAATAAATTAGATGGTTTGGAGGGTTTTTTTTCTTCAGTATTTTGTGAAATTGCAAATTGTACCTGCTCTATACCAGACTAACATGAGTGAAAGATCCTGCTCTTTACTTTTTTAGCACAAACATTTTAGCTCAAAAAAAGAAAAGAAAAAAAAAAAGAAGGAAAAAAAAGCTTAACTGAGAAAGATTTTTAATCCTCCTTTGTTTATAACCAAGATCCTTCCTCGTGTCTAAGTCGTTACTACAATTGCTACATGGACAGGTTTGGCTAGTACTGCAAGAAAAT